CTTTTTTTAATGTGTGAGGCCCAAAACTGGACACAGTACTTTACGTAAGGCCTCACCAGTGCCTAACAGAACAGAAGAATCATTTTCCTTGATTTCCAAGAAACGCCTGTTAATACAACCTAGTGTGCTGTTCACTTTTTTTTTTACCACAAAAGCACATTGTTGACTCATGTAACCCCCAAGTCCTCCTCTGCACTACTGCACCCTAGCCAATCATGCTCCAAGTCTGAACTTGTGCATGCAATTATTTCATCCCAAGTGCAGAACTTTGCACTTGCCCTTGCTGAATTTCATCTGATTGATTTTGAACCAATTCTCCAATATATATATGTCATTCTGGATCCTAGCCCTGCTCTCCAAAGTGTCTGCAATTCCACCCACTTTGCTATCATATACAAATATGCTAAGCGTTCACTCAATCCCATCATCCACATCACTAATGAAGATGTTAAACAATGTTGGACCCAAAACAATGTCAGACACATGCTGGAACTAACACTATATCAAATATGCATCAACATTATAAAGAAAAACCTGACAAAATCAAATGTTATGAAAGGCAAAATTGTTTAAAACAATTTTGAAACTATTATAGATCGTTATTAAAACAGACGTTATTTGATCTCATCAAAATGATAATGTATTTCACAAAATAGAGTTCAGCAATATAACAAAATGTACAATATATAAATATAATCATGTCTAACAAACATTATTCTGTTCTTAAGCTTTCTGGATCTGAACAGTGAAATGTATACCAGTGCTTCAAGTTTCCATGTCCACTGCCCCTTCTCCTCATAAGGTAACCATTTAAAATGTAACCATAAAAAATCAAAATATATTCTAAATGAGATTAATATTGCTCTTAATTAGTTGGGTTGGTATAAATCTTATTTACGATATACAACTAGTTAAAACTGTGCACTTGAAGAGAAGTCAGTGTGATGCCAAAAGAAGAATATTAGATTAATTAAACTTGCTGATAATTTGCCATAATGAAGAAATGTATTCAAAACAAATGACAGGCTTCTTTGCATTCTATGTTACCTAGTTCTAGAATTGCAAACCATCATCTGAAAGTCAATGTGACAAAAATATAATAACTAAATCACAATTCATGAATGAAATCCTAAAATATGGTATGAACATAAAATCAAATTCCAGGGATTTATTTTCTTAAGCACATCTAGGACCCTGAAAAGCAAACATTTTGGTAAGCAGAGAAAAAAATAATTATTCAATATATCTGTGTATAATAATTTTACCTTGCATTTACTGTACTATAAATGGCACTACTTGACAGGAAGAAATTGTCCATTACAAACCTTTAATCCAAGCATTGCTCCTGAGTCCCTAGGCACACTTCCATCTTTGAGTCGTTTATTTAACAAAATCCGACCAATTAGGCGGTCTCCATCTTTGGATGGTTGCCAGGTCACAGGATGCTATGATATAGTGTTAACAGAAAATATAGTGAACACTCCTTTTGGAAAATTCTCTTATCATGTTTCATTTCTAATTTTTAAAACACCATGAAAGCACTATGATTACACCATTATTAATTACTAGATTCATAAAAATTAGTGTTAGAAAAAACCCACAAAGCCAGTTAATCCATCCCAAAATACCGTATTTACTCAAATATAAGACAACCGTGATATAAGACCCTCAAGTAGATTCTATATTTGGAAAATTTATAAATTTGTTATAATTTTCCAAATACATAATCTAATTATCAGAGGTTTGCCTTGAATTTGCCCCCCTCCCATTGCTACAGCAGGAAAATAAATCTGAGGGGATTAGGTAGCCCCCTTGTCCTCTGTCCCCCCAACTTCTTCCCATTGCAGCTCCAACCTCCACCCTTACTGTCAAACCCTGCTCTCCCTGAGCACATGGAAGGAAGGGGCAAATTTAAAGACACTGACTTATAAGCAAATTAATGTGGGTAACCATAGACTTAATTCATCCAGAATTGATGCATTTACCTTTTTTGAAACTTCTGCAAGCTTTAGCACAAGTATTCCATAAACACACTTTTAAGCAGCACTTTTGTACCTATTGGGTGCGTCTACATGAGACACTTACTGTGCAGTAGCCTAATAACATTGTGTAGTAGCCTGCCGGTCAAAAAACATGCTAATATGCTCCTGCAGAGTGTTATTAGACTACTGTGCAGGAAGCATCACAAAAACACCTTGTGTCAGCACTACTGCACAGAAACTGTAATTACTGGACATTTAGTTAGTACTTCATTAGGCAAGTACTAAACTAAATGCATAGTAACTACTGCACATTAATGAACATGTAGACATTCCCACTTATACGTAGTCTAAAATATGCATGATATTAGTCCAAAGCCAAAAGAGTCATGATTTGCCATACAGTTCATTGGTCTGGGCCCTACCAGTCAACAGTGTTTCAAGCCATGTTGACTCCATAACTCAGTGGTGCTTAGTATGTGTGTGTACTCTGGATACCCCCACAAAGTATTTATGTGCTAATTAGCACCCCCCATTCATGACTGGAACCAGGTGTTCTTGTCATGAGTCCTGGGGCCCTCCAAAAATGTATATGCAAATGAGGCTCAGGGCAACCTCTTCCCGCTCCACCTCATGGAAACCAGAGCCACACTAATCATATGAACCAGGTTGAGAGAGGAGGTAACAGAGGGATTGTGGGTGAACTGTTTGGGGCTGCATTTGGTGATATTTGCCGGACATTTAAGTCTGGTGGAGAAAAGGGGATAATTGGAAATGGGAAAGAAAGATAATTGGAAATGGGGACATGCTGCTTTTGGCAGCAGTTTAATGACAGAAAATGTATTTAATGAGATTTCCTTGCATGCAAATATAAGATGAGGAGATTTTTTTCTCCCATGCTGATGGGAGGGGAGGGGAACCTCCTCTTATGTTCAAGTAAATATGGTATTTCTAAAGATTAAATAAAAATCTTCATTTAAAAAAATTATTGCTAATACCAATTGGTAAAATCAAATCATCTTTATTTCTTGCTAAATCAGTACAGATATGTATACAAGTACATATAGTATGTACATATATTATCACCATTGAATAATGTCAAAAATAGTTTAAATCTAACAAAATAATCCTGATGCCAAAAAGGAAATATAACTCAAAATTGAATGGATATGATATACTGATATCAGTTTTATTTTCAGATTATAGATCAGATTTCTCAGAATCCTTTAAGATCCAAAAAAATAAAAAGGAATAAATTATATTAAAAGGCATAGTAGTATATATACTCTCATATGTCATATTTTAGAATAGAATTGGATAGATAATAGTTAATGCAACTATTTGCATTAATTAATTTGTGTATTTGTACTGAATATTCATTCCATCATTCCATTACTGTATGTTGTTATAATGTGATGAGAAATATTCTAAATAATCTTTCTGGATTTTTTGTGTAATCATAGCACTTTTTCCCAGATAAACACTAGTTTCATGCTCTATTCCATGCAAAATAAGCAGGCACAAGGACAAATACTCTCCCATTACATCTAATAGCTCTAAAAAGATTTGTCATATACCCCACCAACTAACAGCAAAAGTAACAAATACCAAAGCAGATGGCAAAGACTTCATACTACACAACATTGCACAAAAATGGCATGACAACAAAACAAAAGAACCAACATGACAGTTAAAGGGAAAAAAGAAAAACAACTTTTCTGTGCAAACAGACCCAATTTTCTTCCCTTTTTACCTGGGAATTAAACTATGGAATTAATTTCAGCCCCAGGAATACATATATGGGAATCAAATAAGCCAATCCAACAGAATCTTTACTGATAATCACTTTGTTTTTAATGCAACACCACAAAGTACTATTATTATGCAACCATAAGACCACGCATTCCTTTGTGCCTGAATAAATTTTTTCTTTTGCTGCCAAACAGTAAAAGCAGCAAAGCATGCAGGAATTTTTTATTTTGTTTTTCTTTTCTGCACCTTGAGAAATGCTACATTGTCTCTAAAACACCCTGTCTTTATTTTATGTACTGCTTTAATGAGTGACAGAGAGCAAACAAAGACCAAATGAGCAGGTTAAAATGCAGGCTCCACAATCTCAGTACCTTCTCACTATGGCTATGCTCCTCGTTTAGAGTTGTGCTACTGCACGTATCTACCCCAGAGTCTTTAATCTGAGGCTCAGACCATTCCAAGTCCTCTTCCAAAGAGTGGCCACCAAAGCACACCATTTTCTTTTGTTTCTCAGACAAGGTGTTAGAATCCGACAAAACTGCCTGCTCACTAGTTTTTCTTTTTCCCCTTTGACTGTTCCCTACAGGTGCAGGATAAAAAAAAAAGATACAAAAAAGAAAACATGCAAAGGTGTAAATAAAACAAAGGAAATGTGAAATGATAAAGGAAACTGAACGGTAAGGCTCCACATGTCTCACCAAAGACATTGGGGATGCCTCACTGCTATGCCAAGACGTATGGTCCAACCAGTTGTAATCCATATCTCCTGTGAGAATCAGACAGACGAGATAGTGCAGTAAAGGAAAAGTGAAAGAAAGAGGTAAAAAACTTTGTAAGAGTTTTGGTTATCCTGTCTGACTCAGAACCTTTGTTAGTAGCACTTGTTACAATGTATCCAAGAAGTTGACTCCAAAACAATGGGATACATGGAATGCAGAGAGAGAGAGAAAGAGAGAAGAGAGTATACATTCAATATAGATAGTATAGCGTGATTGATTCAGTGAACTTAATAGTTGCTTAAAATATCTTTTGAAAATACCTACAGTATAACCAACTATATGGAACATAATATGTACAAACTGGAAAATTTCTGGCAGGAAGACAACTAAGTATTCCTAACATCTAGAAAACAGTTATGCCTGGTTGGAAGACCCTTCTTGCCTTTTTCAGAACAAAATAATGACTTTTCTCTAACTGTTACAATGAAACCTTTCAAACAATGTAATACTATATCCCACTATGTAATAATATTTTTCAGAATGTCAAAATACCTGTTAAGAGATGATAGATTAAGAAAAATAAAAAGTATGTTAATACCATTACAAAAAAATAAAATAATTTTGCAAGAAATGCACATTGATAATCACTTTGTATGACATAACATTTATCCATTTACACAGGCAGAATTATAGTCAATATTAAACATGGAATCATTGGGCTGTATTTTCCCATAATAATCTTTAAAAACATGTTCATATAATTTAAATGCAATTTTTATACTGGAAAGTTGATGATTTATCTAAATGGAAAGATATCCATGCTTTTGAACAGTTGATCCAAAGAATTAATGCTCTTGCTGATAAAAATGGTTATGTGTTTCTGAGCTAGATAAATATTTGGGAGGACTAGGGCATACACTAGCTCAGAAGTTGTCAACTGGGGGTACATGTACCCCTAGGAGTACATAGAAAGGCTGTAGGGGTTATGCATGGGTGGGCGGGTGG